CTAGAGGCGGCAAGCAGTCATTCTGTCGGTTAAGTTCTGTTCTGTTTCTGCTGCAATAAATCATGTTGTATTAGACCGGTCTGGTTAATGCCTCCAAAAACCCACTACACAATAGCAGCGACGAGGATGGGATTTTGCTGCAAGAGAGAAATGATGCCTACTCAAGTCTGAAGTCATTGGGTGTTAGACCAGGCACAAGAGTCCTGGTGGGACCACACCCCCACTCTGCCTGCCAGTAAGCCACACTGGAGGCACAGTTTCCTGAAGGAACCGTCCCCAGGATCTAGGCAGCTCAGTTCCTATTGCAGCAAGAGAGGCAGTGTCCAGGACCTCACTGAACTACTACCATGGCCAGGCTTGGCAGGCTAAATGAATTTGATGTCTCACATCCAGAGCAGTGGAGCTCTTACATCTCCAGGGTGGATAACTACCTGCAGGCCAACCAGGTTAGAGAAGATAGCTTGAAAGCGGCAACTCTACTCTGTGCGTGTGAACAGACTACATTCGACATCGTCGAGAATCTGGTAGCACCAGCAAACATCGAGTCAGTAATCTATGTAGACTTAAAGAGGAGGCTGAAAGAGCACTTTGAGCCAAAGCTGTCCATAATTGCTTGGTGTCACGCTTTCGAACAAAGGGAGCAAAAGTCAGGTGAATCAGTAGCTGAATTCATGGCAGCACTTTGTCAAGCTTCATGCCACTGTGAATTCCCTGACTTGGAAGATCATCTCAGAGACAGACTTGTTTGTGGACTGTTGAACAGAGAGTTGCAGCAGTGCCTATTTGCCAGGGAGAATCTGACCTTCCAAGATGCTCTGAAGGAAGTCTTGGCAGACGAGGCTGCCAGAAGAACAGTGAAGGCTTCTGGCCTCCGAAGACACACTCCAGTCCCACAGCAATACATCAGGAGACCACTGAAAGACCGAGTGAGTCAGAAGAAGACAATGAGATCAACTGGTTGCAAAAAGAGCCATTTAGATGGTATCATGCAACAGAACAAGCAATCCTTCCTCTGAACTGCGCTAGCTGTGGAGGACAACATAAAAGAATGGAGTGCAAGTTTTGCACAGCCATGTGCCATGCCTGTGGAAAGCAAGGCCACATTGCCAGGGTCTGTAGAGGTCACCAGAGAGAAGCTAGCACTGAAAACATACCTCAGAAAGGTAAATGGGCCCCGGGACAGAACAGGGTTGGATATTGCTCAGGGAGGAGAAGCATTCAGCGAACGGGAGCCCAATGCCCCCTCAAAGAGAAGTTGAGACTTCAAGTTAAAATTCAAGGGGTCCCCTGTTCTATGGAGCTAGACACCGGGTCAGCTCTATCAATCATTTCATACAAGACTTTTGATTATATTTGTAGACAAGGCAAGAGGCGAGTTCAACTCAAACCATCAAGCCTTATCCTGACTGATTTTCAAAATTGCCGTGTGTCTGTTAGGCCACTGTAAAGGTCAAATTCAAAGAGTTTGAGGGTCCCTTCAGCGTGGTAGTTGTCGATGGACAGTGCACCAGTCTCATCGGATTGGACTGGTTCAAAGCCCTGGGCATCCGTGTAACGGGCATCAATTGCACACAAGCAGTATGCCAAGAGTATGCTGATGTGTTCAGTTCTGACTTAGGATAATACAGAGGGGTGCCCATTTCCCTAAATCTTGACCCAGCAGTCACTCCAATTAGAATCAAACTGCGCAGAGTGCCCTTTGCTTTAAAACCAAAGATTGATGCGGAGCTGGACAAAATAGTGCAACAGGGAGTGCTCCAACCCAGGGACAGTAGCCTGTGGGAGACTCCCATAGTGACCCCAGTGAAGCCTAATGGGGACATCTGCATCTGTGCAGACTACAAGTGCACAATCAACAGGGCACTACAGCAACACACTTACCCAGTTCTAGTGGTAAGTCACATTCTTGCCTCGCTCCAAGGAGGCCGCCTGTTTGCCAAACTAGCCCTCGCACAAGGATACCAATAACTGCCAGTTGATGATGCCACTGCAGAAGCACAGACCATCGTCATCCACAGAGGGGCATTCCGAGTATGCCGCCTGCAGTTTGGGGTAAGTGTAGCCCCCGGCTTGTACCAAAGCATTATGGAACGGACACTAAAAAACATACCTGGCATCTGCCCCTATTTTGATGACGTCTTGATTGCAGGAGAATCAGTGGCAGTCCTAGCTGAACATCTCAGGGCAGTGCTTCAAAGGTTCTGTGAGGAGGGGTTAATGTTAAAAAAGGACAAGTCCCAAATTGGCGTGGATTCTACTGAGTTCCTGGGATTCTGGATAGACGCTGCTGGAATCCATCCATCTGATGCTAAGCTCAAAGCCATTCAACAAGCCCCCAGACCTAAATCCAAGGGGGAGCTGCAGGCATTGTTAGGACTATTAAACTTTTACCATTCGTTTTTGCCACACAAAGCAGCATTGGCAGAGCCACTTCACCATCTGCTAGACAAAAAAGCACCTTGGGGTTGGACAAACAATCACGACAGGCATTCAGAGCAGTCAAATCACTGCTATCTTCGAGTTCTGTGTTGGCTCACTTTAACAAGAAACTGCCAGTGACATTAGCCTGCGATGCCTCACCTTATGGCATTGGGGCAGTGTTAAGCCATCAAATGCCAGATGGTCGTGAAGCCCCTATTGCTTACTACTCTAGGACATTATCACCAACTGAGAGGAACTATGCTCAAATTGACAAAGAAAGTCTCGCTACTGCAGGAATTAAGAAGTTCCATGACGTCTTATATGGGCGACCCTTTACAGTTTTCACGGATCACAAGCTGCTGCTTGGCCTTTTTATGGCTGACAAGCAGACTCCACATATCCTGTCACCAAGGATGCTGTGATGGTCAATTTTTATGGCTGCCTATTCATACAGGCTAGTCCATAAGCCTGGCAAGGAAATGGGCCATGCTGATACACTCAGCAGACTGCCTCTGCCACACACAGATCCAGATCCAGCCCCAGCAGCTTGCATCCTGGCAATCCAGGATCTTCCAGAGACACCCCTACATGTGGGAGATGTGGCTGCTGAAACTGCCACTGACAGAACTCTTAGCTGCGTTCTCAACTGGGTGTTGAGGGGTGGCCAGAAAACAGACCAGGTCCAGAGTTTCAGCACTATGCATGCAGAAAAGATGAGCTGTCAGCCCACAAAGAGTGTGTGCTATGAGGAAGCAGAGTAATTGTTCCGCCCAAATTGCAAGCTAGAGTGTTAGAATCTCTGCATGAGGGACATCCAAGCATTGTAAGAATGAAAGCACTTGCAAGAAGTTACTTGTGGTGGCCAGGCCTGGACAAGGACATTGAGGCTCAAGTAAGGAGCTGTCAGGTCTGCCAAGAGACCCATTCAGAAAGCCCCAGGTGTACACCGCTGGGAGACCACGCAAGCCCCATAGTCTCACGTGCACATTGACTTTGCGGGTCCATTTCAGGGACAGGTATTCCTCATTGTTGTGGACAGTTATTCAAAATGGTTAGAGGTAGTACCTGTCCAATCTATGACTACTGCCAGGGTCATCCAGGAACTGCACCGGCTATTTGCCATACATGGACTGCCAGACGTCATAGTGTCTGACAATGGGGCACAATTTACGGCAGTGGAATTCCAGTCTTTCCTTAATGCTAACATGATTAGACACACCACTTCGGCTCCGTTCCATCCAGCTTCCAACAGTCAAGTTGAATGGATGGTAAGGTGCACCAAAGAATCCCTTAAAAGACTGACTAAGGGAGACTGGAATCATCACCTGGCAAACTTTCTTCTATGCCACATACAACTCCAAGCACTGCAACAGGACGTAGCCCAGCTGAACTAAGGTGGGGATGTCAGCTCACAACAAAGCTAGACCACCTTCACCCTGACAGGATAGCTGCTGAAACGGCGCAACCCAAGGCTCCCAGGAATCTACAGCTGGGTGAGCATGTTTGGGCTAGGAACTATGGGCAGGGAGCACCTTGGGTGGCTGCTACAATTACTAAAGTGTCAGAGCCACTATCATATGAGGTAGCTCTGGATGATGGTCATGTGATCCGATGCCACATTGATCAGTTGAGGCATCGGCAGACAAAGCTGAGTTCAGGAGCAGATGTCAAAAGGACTGTAGACACTCCAGGTGAAGCTGCTATTCCAGCATCACCCACACCTGCTGAGACTGTGCTTACAGAGACAGAGGCACCACAGATCTGTGTACCACCTCTGCTGTCAAATGACTCGGATGGACATAGCGGCACAGGTTTACCGCCTCTGCCATCACATGACTCAAACGGATATAACAGCACAGGTCTACCTGGTGCGGACAACCAGCAAGTCAAGATGAAAACCCAAACAGCCTTGCGGCATTGCAGTAGAACTCGCAACCCACCGGTCTACCTCAAACACTATGTGCATCAAGTATACAAGAAATCACTTTATCCAGGGGGAAGGGGTGTTATGTATTGATATCAGAGTTAATGTGTTTTGATTCAAATGTGTCTCCAACTGTTTTGGAGGGAAAGTTAAGTTTAAGTTTGAGGGGGAAAACAGCTTATGATTTGATTGGTCACCACCTAGAGGCGGCAAGTATAAATAGCAGTCATTCTGTCGGTTCTGTTCTGTTTCTGCTGCAATAAATCATGTTGTATTAGACCGGTCTGGTTAATGCCTCCAAAAACCCACTACACAACAATGCTGGTACTAACTGGATCTGGGCTGGGCTGGTCATTATCACTTGTCATTCCCCCCTCCCTATTTCTCATTCATATACTACACAGGTTTATTGCCCTTACATCACCCCCCCCCCCCCACATTTCAAGCCTTTGATGGCAGGATGCCTGTGAAGTGCCAAGCTGAACCAGGCAGAGCTGACAGATTGATTGAAAACGGAAATACACACGTAAAATGTTTGGTGCATGGCAGATAAAAGAGTAGATGGGAAGAATGTTCTTTCCAATTCTGCAATTCTTATTTATGTTTTGGATGAACACAATTCAATAAATGAAATAACTTCTCTTTATTGTTTTAGCATGTTAGGATAGCACATGAATTTAAGGACTTGGTGCTACAAGATGATCGATTTGAAATTTGTGCTGATGTCATACTGGGATTAGTATGCTTCCGATTAAAGGTAAATGTGAAGAATTTTTCAATTCCTATAATCTTGCTTTGTTTTATACAATAATTTATAGGGAAATCAGAGTTTCTTACTGAAAACTAAAGCTAAAGCAGACATTTACTTTTAAAGAATTTCTATTGTCTCACTTATATCATGATTTATAGGATGAATGTAACATTCCTACAGTTCAATTAATCAGTTTTTATATTTAATCACTTATTGAATATTTGGATTTCTCAGTTCTCTGTAGAATGCTTTTTATTTTACATTTCTAAAACCTTATTTTACACTTCAGAGGCAATTGTATTAGCTTTTGTGACATTCTTTTTGCTTTTTCTTGAAATATCTTAAATATACTTGGTGATCAGAGCTTTCTTAGGTGGCTGATGCCAATTCTTAATTATGAAAAACTGCAGCACCTTCTTTAGATGAGTGAAATTGTTATCAGTCATTAGTGAGGCTTTTCTATATTTTCAGCACTGATTGAGTATGTTTTAATAGAATGTTTCCAGTACTCTTAAAAATGATCAGCTTTCTTAATACCAATTATGAAAAGGAAGATCAAAAAACATCCCTTAAACACAGTGACCCTTAACCACATTTTTTTTACATTTTGAGAGATAATAGTGTGTGATCATTAGCTTATCGCTTGAGTAGTGACACACTAAGATTTTATATGATTAAACAGGTGAATACAGTTTATAAAAAGCAAAGAAAATTAAGGAAATTAACCTTTCAACTGCCCTCATTATCAAACAAAGCTTGATTTTTCTTTCTGGCATGCTAGATGTCCTTTTATGCAATTTTCTATCAAATTCAAGGCAATATATATACACTATGACCTGTTATAAAATAAAACAATTAAAAAATTCTTCCTCCTATAAGAAAACATTTTGATAGTAAAGGTGAAATAAAACAGATAGAAGAATATGGGATAGTACCACTACCAGAGAAATTTGCAGTTAACTGACCAACAGCACTTAGTGGCCAGTCCTCAATGGAACTATATCTATGTGGAGGGAAGGATGCAGTGGGCTACCTCATGGTACTGTCTTGGGCCAATGCTCTTCAATACCTTTATAAATGACATAGATGTCATTGAAGGGATGCTCATCAAATTTGTGGATGACATAAAACTGGGGGAAATTGTTAACACTTTAGAAGGTAGACTTAAGATGCAGAAGGATCTTGACCAAGTTGACTAATTATCCAACAAAATGCAGTTCAGTACTGAGAAAGGTAAAGGTCCTACACTTAGGAAGAAAAAACAGTAGTACCTGGCTCAACAGTAGTATCTGTGAGAAGGATCTGTGTCTCCTTCAGGGGACCACTGCTTAAGTATGAATTGAATTTTGCTACAATTTTGCTAGCAAAAAAGCCAATGCAGTTATAGAAGAATAGTGTCAAGATCACAAGAAGTGGTAGTACTGCTCTGAACTACATTAGTGAAGCCACATGTGGAATACTGAGTCCTGTTCTAGTCACGTTACAAAACAAGATGCTGAGGTCCTAGAAAGAGTGCAGAGAAGAACACCATAGATGATTAGGGGTCTGGAGGCTAAATAATATGATGAATGGCTAAGGGAACCAGGTACTGTACAATTAGCCTAACAAAAGAGAAGACTTAGGGGAAACCTGATAGCAGTCTTCCAATACAGAGAAGGGGGAGTAGATTTATTCTTCAAAGCACCCAAGGACAGGACAAGAAGCAATGGGTATAAACTTATTAAAGTGAGATCTAACCTGGAAATAAGAAGTAATTTCCTGACAGTGAGAATGATTAATTAGTGAACCAGCTTGCCTTCTGGAGTTGTAGGTGTTCCATCGCTGGAGCAAATCCCACACTCATTAGCACCATGAATTTTAAATCCTTAACTGTCTCTCAACATCATAATGCCCAGTGGTTATATGATACTGAAAACTCAGTGCTTTTGAATTTAAATTTTGAAAAATTTATTTGATATGCTTATACATTTTATATTAAAGGATCATCAAATAGTTTATAATAAAAACAGCAATAAAATTCATAATAAACCAAATGCATTAAATCAACATAAAACAACATTTAACAAAACCTATTCATTAAAAAGAGGCTAGCAGTTGATATTTCTAGCCATGGATATCTCTTTAATTCCATTGACAACAATCTATTTAGGAGTACACCAAATGATGTCCATGTTCTCTCTAAATGATTATTACTCTGTGTAGAACAGGTAAGTCCTCCAATATTGGACTCTGAAATTGTTCATCCAGAAAGTTTCCATCTTACTGGGATTCTGTTTTACCTTATTGGCTTTCATTCACTCCATCACTGCATTTAAACACAACCTGCATTTAGGATGTGCTCAATTTCTCCTAATTCAGCTATTCAGAAAAGTAGAGCCAAGTCGTATTTATATTGGAACATAGAATTTAGAATCATACTGGGGTACTGGAGATAAAACAGTGCCATAGGGTACCACACAGGATAATATTTATAAGATTATCCCTTCAGCTAGGAGTAACCCATTGTAACATGTTGCTCCCAATGTAACATGTTGCCTGTTGTGTCCTGAACCTGCTAGTGCAGAAAAGCAGGCTCAGAATTGTTGCAAACGGTCCCGGGCAAACCAAAAGTTGCCTGGGACCAGACAGAGCAGCGCCAGCCTTGTGCGCATGCGCAAGGCGCGAAAACGGTCAGTTCCTATTGGTTAACACTGCCTGGGTTTCAGGCCCTATAAAAAGCCTGCATGCCTTTTGCAGCTTGCTTGTTGTAGGAGAAGGTTAATAAAGACTTGTTGCTTCACCATGTGTCTTCGTCAATTGCCAATGAACGGAATACACAAAATTGCCCATAGAATATAATCTAGGAAATGTTATTGATCAAACAGAATCAAAAGAGTTGCACTCCCTCTGTCTCCTTTTGTTCAAGATATCAGGGTGACTATGGCTGGTTCTGTTCCAAAATCAGGCTTAAGTCAATTTTTTTTTTTAAAAAAAAGGATAATTAGTATCTCTGTAGATATTAACTTTTGTCCCAAGAAGGGGTATCTGTTACTGGGTAATAGTCAGAAAAAAATCTGGATTTAGGATTTTTTTTTTCAGAAGTGGGTAAATTTAAATGCCCCATACCATCATGCAAAAATGATTTCTCTCTCTGGATCAATCAGTCAACTCTCATTGGTTAACTCAAATGAACCCAAATGGTCAACGGTCAAGAAACCATGAAGGCTAGATGGTTACAAGTCTACATCTTTTTCTTTAGGCCTCATTGACTGAAATAAGCTGGACCTGATGGTATTCTGAATATCTCAATATATACTGGGTGAAAAGCAGTCCATATAAATATGAACAATGTTATCCTTGTCTCACAAATTATAACAGCCCACAAAGACTCAAATGTATCTCTGACACAACTTCAAGAATGTCATGTATTAACATAAGTAATGTTAATTATTTTATATTTTATCATTATTCTAGGGCAGCAATGAACTTAATGAAGTGCTTCTTAAAAACATAAATGATGCCAGGAAGATTCATCTTGTTCCATGTCATCTGAGAGGAAAATTTGTGCTGCGTTTTGCAATTTGTGCCCGCACAGTGGAATCCTCCCATATCCAGTTTGCCTGGAAGCACATCACAACAATGGCAAGTGTACTTCTGAAAACACAAAAACAGAGTACTGACTAAAAGACAAAAGGCTGGATTCAACTCCGAATATAAAGGATAGTATGAATTCTGTCTAGCCTGATTCTTGTTTGATACTACTAGGAACATACAGTACTGTAATTAGATTGAGTAGGTTTATAAGTAAAAGAGTAATACTGGTAATCTTCATTTAATGACCACTTGTTCAGTGACCTCTTAAATTTATAATAGCATGGACCAAATGGTAGTTATGAGTGATCCTTATTTTTATGGCTGTCACAATGTCTGTCCTATGCTCAAGTGATTGCTATTTGCTACCTTTTTTGCCTGCTTCTAACAATCAAAGTCCATTGAGAAGCCGGCAGGAAGTTGCAAATGGTGAGACATGATATCCTTGCTTAACAATCTGTATTTATTTTCATAACAAGCAGAGCATCACAAATACTGTTGCTAATGGCACAGTTATGTGGCATCAAGCTTTATGACAATGCTGGTTAGTAATAAATTCTGGTTCCAATTATTGCTGTTAAGTGAGGATTACTAATAATGTTTTTTTCTCAATCAAACCATGAATCATTTTGTCTAATATTTTCATTTTAAAAGAGCAACCAATATTTTGCATCTGAAAACTACCAAATACAGTCAGGGTTGTATATATTGGGACAATAAATTGGGGGTAGATGCATGAAAATGGCTATAATTCCTCAATGGTTAATGCCATACTTTTATCAAACTCTGTGAATTAAAGGTGAAAGTCTTTACTTTGCTCACATCGTGAGTATTTTATTTCAGATTCAGTGTGGTGGTGTACAGAGGCCAAATGCCAAAAACTTTATTGTCTCAGTATGTATGAACCCGACTGTAAGCCCTGACAGTTATGATCTTCTCCTGTTTGACCCTAACATCTTCTAGGTTATGGTTATTGGCAGAATATAAAAGTGAATAAATCTGCCTGCAATAATTGTCTTTTTAGGCCAGTGATGATGCCTTGTGGCAGATGATACCAAATCATAAAGATCAGAACTATCAGATAAAAGTTTGCTCAGCTAGAAGATTCTGTTGTCACTTGTTGCAGTGCAGCAAATTAAAAAATGACATTTGGAGGGAAGGTAGACAGGATTAGTGCTTCTTTTCTAATAACATCCACCTTATCTCTGACATTGCAATTTTCATCTCAGTCTTTGAATATTTTCAGTTTTTCATTTTTCCTTTCTAGCATTCCTTTTTTCTTTTTCTTTTCTTTTTTTAGAAAAAAATGAGGTTTTTATTGCTATGTCTTCTTAACTTCAGTTATTTAAACAAATAGGCTTTTAATGACCATTTATTGGATTAAGAATCTTTTAGTCCAACAAATGTGAATGATAATTGGGGCAGAATTATGTAACCTTGCCCAACCATGCTTTCTCTTATTATAGGTTTACAGGTATAGACAACTATTGATGATACATTGAAAACAATCAGGAAAATATTGATAACTCACTCAGTAATCTCAAACCGGCATATAAACAGGTGGCATTTAAATTTAATTAATAAATAAACTTAAGTCTAGCATCATGACTCTAATTGAATTACAATACAGTTGCAAGTTAATGTTTCTATGTAATTGTCTTAAAGCAATTGTGCCTTGTATTATACCCATTATGTGACAGATCCTGATTTAAGATTTCTACTGTTATATAATCAAACGTAGTAGACTGCATTTTTTTCTGTATAAATGCTTATTTATTTAAATTCATTATCTTTGTGAATACTTGTTTAGTGCCTCTAGAATGTTTCCACTGAATGGGATCATAGGCTTGCTTGATCCTCTAGAGCAATGGCATCAAATTCAAATAGAATATTGACTTAGAAAACCACCACATTTCTTTCTTTCTTTTTTTATTAATACATCAACACATTGTAATCAGATAGGAACTAAATATAACTAATACATAAAAAGAAACACATTATTATGAATTTGACCCTTTATTTTCAACATTTATGGCTCATTCTGCGCTTCCTCCTGGCCTATCACCAAATTATTGCACAAATCACCTCCTCACCTCTTATTCCCACTTGCTAACTCCTTGCAACATTGCCTCTAATTTCATGTGCAGAAAATATTGTTTTGTGCAGCTTTTTCCAAACCAGGTACACATTTGTGCATCACTATGCAAGAATATGAGTAAATTGTAAATACCATATATACTCGAGTATAAGTCGACCCGACTATAAGCCAAGGGACCTATTTTTCCACAAAGAACTGGGAAAAAATGGTGACTTGAGTATAAGCCGAGGGGGCATTTTTCAGCACACACATTTTTCCGCCTGGGCTAATCGGCCTCTTTGCAACCCCACCCCTCTGGTAACCGCGCGATTGTAGCACTTTGTACAAAGGAGCAATAGTTGATAACACGCCCCACGTCAGCTGGAAGGGTATTCTTGGATAATGAGAAGCTGGAACCGGGCGGGCGGGCGAGAGAGGCGGGCAGAAAAAAGAAAGGGGGGGGAAATCCACACACACTCGCGCAGGGAAAGGGGGAAACGGGTGGGCCGGCCAGCTCCCCTCTCCTCTTTGTGTGTGTGTGTGTTTGTCTCTCTCTCTCTCTCTCTCTCAATTCTCCCCCACCCTAAAAACGGGGAGGGGGCGACCTTGCAAAAGGGAGGGGGCTTCTCCCGGTTGCGGGGAAGGCTGGAGGTGCGCCTTTCTCGGCCAGCCCGGGTAAATTCGGCCGTATTCTTCAATACAGGCCGGCCCCAGCAGTTCCGGCTGGTTGCCGGCAGTTGGCTGTTCCTCCCTGGCTGCCTCGGCCCCCCTGGTGAGCGCCCGGTAGGGCGCAGCATCGCCAGGCCTCCCCCCTTCGCGCGAGGTGTCTGGTGTTCCCCCTCGCGCTTGGCTGCGGCGGCCCAGGGTATTCCGTCCCGGCCTCGACACGCACCGCCGCAGGGAACGGAAGGGAAGTGGGGAGGGCTGTACCTGGAGCATCACATGAAGAATTGGCTGAAGAATACGGCCGAAAAATGGGCCCGACCGGCTCTTTCCGCGTGGAGGTCGGAAGGGGCGTTGGCCCTCTTCGGGGGAGGGAAAACGTTCCAGCGGGGGAGGGGCGAAAACCCCACCCCCTCTTAACTCTCTCTCTCTCTCTCTCTCTTTGTGTGTGTGTGTTTCTCCTCTCCCCTCGGCCGGGGCCCACCCGTTTCCCCCTTTCCCTGCGCAAGCATGTGTGGATTTCCCCCCTTTTTTTCTGCCCGCCTCTCTCACCCGCCCGCCCGGTTCCAGCTTCTCACTATCCAGGCGTTTCTGCAAAGCGGTCGAGGGGGGACGGTTGGTGGGAAAAGAAAAGATGGAGCAGCGGCCAAGGGTTTATAAAGCAAGCGGCGGAGTCCTGCAGCTCAGAGGCGACACGGGGGGAGGGAATCGGAGCTAACCGAGGAAGGAGGCACTGCTGCTGCTGTTTCTGCTGCTGCCGCCACCGCCAGCCGGGGCATAATACGGTAAATAGATACGAGTGTAGGGGATCCGCGCGTGAACGAAGCCCCACTCCCCCGCCTTTTGCTTTCGCTCCCGAGCCGGCGCTTTTGAAAAGGGCTTGACTCCAGCCTGGGATTCGGAACGGGAGACGTTGCCGCTGCTGCCGCCGCCCGCGCTGCTGTGGACTTACAATATCTGAGCAAAAGACTTTGCAAAAGACCACCCCGCCAAGGGGGAAAGGCGCGCAGTTGGGCACCGTCTTCCTTCGGCGTCTCTTTAAACGGTGCTCGGATATTGTAAGTCCACAAAGAACTGGGGAAAAATATTGACTCTAGTATAAGTCTAGGGGGGCATTTTTCAGCTCAAAAAATGGGCTGAGAAACTCGGCTTATACTCGAGTATATACGGTATATGTAATAGTGACATGATAAAGTATTTACATATTTCTTAAAGTATAAAAACTAGAGTATTATGCCACATACTTGCTTGAAAACAATCCCTTCAAATCATTTTGGATACCCGAAAACTGCCCCATTTTTTAGAAGCGACATGACAATTTTTTCTTCCTAAAAGTAAGAAAGTAAGAGAGGTGACAGACCCAAGGTCATCTAACTGGCTTCATGCCCTGGGCAGGATTAGAACTCTTGGTGTCTTGATGTCTAATGTGACAAATTAACTACAATATCGTATTACACAAAACTGGGTCCATATATAGAGACTTACAGTTTATAATACAATCAATTCTCTTTTTTCTTAGAATGTGATATTATAATGAAAGAATTTTTTTTTTTAAAGTAAAAGCATACCCAAAGCATTTGAGGCACTCTCTCTCTTTTTACCCCATTTGTCCCTTCTTCAATGGAGGCATCCCAACATATTTAAATTTCAAATTTAAGTTTGAGAAACTTGAGAAAGTTATTAATGATCACAAACCTTGTTTGAAACTCAACAAATATTTTGGAGGGAGAAGAGAACAAATGCAACCTGTTTTACAAAGTGCTTCTTTGTGCACCAGAGGCTCTGGGGGTCAGGAGTGAATCAGCTACTAATGCAAAGCTGACTGTCTGCTGTCTGGGGAAAAGGTACCAGAGTCTTTTGTGATGAAAAGGTTAAACCTTTAGTAGCTAATATGCTAGCTCCCAAGGTCGCTGCTTCTTCACTTCCAACCTTGGGAAGAGCAAGACTGTGGGAGTCAGTCATCCTTACTTGATGAAGATGTTCTCAGTACAGAAGCTGGTCTTATTAATGCTTTTGGCTCCTTACCACATAAAGAACAAGAAAATATACTGTTTAAACTAGAAAATCTGAAGAAAATCTTGTTGGTCACAATCGCCATAGCTGAACCACTTATAGACCTTGTATCTTTCCCATCAGCAAATAATGGATTACCAGAAAATGGTCATATGAAAAATAGAAGTCTGAATCCTCTTGAGCCAGTAGAGGATCCTGCAGTTGAGGAGTAGTCATTACTTTCATTGGGATATTCCATGGGGACTCCAGCAACAAATTGGGATGGATAAGGGATCCTTCAATGACACAGAGCCAGATGTAGCATGATTTAACATCTCTTTGCCCAACACTTCAGCAGACTCCCC